TGTGATATTCGGGTTGAGTCACTCATCGTCAGACTATGTTTCCTCCTCTAGTTACCATTGAGCAATAGGGTCTTTCGACCATGTTCTCGAGGCGATTGGACCTTGAGCTTTGAATCGCGCTACTGTGTTTGAACCATAAACTGTAATTCAACTACTAAACTAACAAGGAAAGCATAAACGAACTAAGCTACTAACAAGGTAAAAGAATCTTGGTCAAACTAGGAAAGATAGGCGGCCAAACTTAGTGTCTTCATAGGCAAGCAACTGACTTCGTGTGCAAGTAACAAAAACACGTTCCATAGCTACTATGAGCCCTTCATTCAAAGGTTTCCAAGTATCCTCAAGGTCATCAAACTCTAGTCCTTGTTTCAGTAAGTTTCAGTCTCTTCATTCCAACTCGCACCTCCTTTCGAATGTGTCCAAAATGTCTCGAAGAAGCTTCCAAACTGGGTAGGTCGAAACTATTTCCATACTTAGGCATTTTCACAATTTCTTGCTCTTCTTTACTTCATGACCAAACTTAGTCTCTTCCTTTGCAAGCAACTGACTTCCTGCGCAAGTAACAAAAACATGTTCCATAGCTACTTTGAGCCCTTCGTTCGAAGGTTTCTAGGTATCGTCAAGCTCATCAAACTCCAATCGTTTCTTCACTAAGTTTTAGACTCTCCATTCCAACTCGCAGCTCCATTCGAATGTGTCCCAAACGTCTCGAATAAGCTTCCAAAGTGGGTAGCTCGAAACTGTTCCCATACTTAGGCATTTTCACAATTTCTTGCTCTTCTTTACTCCATGGCTCGATCCTTACATTGAATTTCAATGGAGAACAATTTAGGTTAGAAACCAAGCTCTTGTCAACAACCATGGCAGTCAACAATTTTGAGATCAAGACCGGTCTCATCACCACGATCCAAAGCACATTCAGTTTCATGGTCTTGAAAATGAGTCACCAAGAAAACATATCAATCGGTTATACGAGTTAACAGATGGTCTAAAGATGAATTGAGTGCTGCAAGAATCACTTAGGTTGAGGCTATTCCCATACTCCCTAAGTGGAAATGCACGAAATTGCCTCAACAACCGACCTCCTCTCTCGATTGTTTCTTGGGATGACTTGGACTTGTTGATAAAGTTCATGCATGGCAAGATACTTCCCTTCGCCAAGGACAGTTTCTCACAGATAGGACCAAGTGGTAGATAATACAAGATAAAGGACTGCTATTGTAATTAGCCAGGTTGTGCATATTGTGTACTCAGTTGGTTGGATTACTAAAACACTATGTGGAGTCTGTTGGAGGAATTAATGAAAAATTACAACCACCTTTTCCCTCCTAATCTCTCTCTCTCTTTCTATTCTCTTCTTCTCATCTTGTTCTTATCTGTTCTTCTTCTTCCCTATCGCCGAGTTGAGCCCAGGTAGTGACAAGGTGGTATCAGATCCCTACTCGGCATGACTACCAGGATGATGACAATGGAAGAACACCTCACCGGTGTGACGGCTAGCACTTCGAATTTGGAAGATCGCTTGACAGCACTGGACGCCCAAATCACAGAAATCAGCGGACGGAGCCAGACTAATATGTTGCAATTGACCGAGCTAAGGAAGCGCAGTGATGGATTACGACATGAGCGGAAAGCCATTCCCAGCAATTGGCGACTATCATTACGCAGTCTCGTTCTATGAATGCTCGCTTGAACAGGTTTGAAGAATAGTTGAACAATCGCTTCACGGAGATATTATTGGGGATTCTTCAAGGGGAAGCGGTCGTGGCTCCACCGCCAGATGTTTCGGTGATGGGTTGGAATTTCGAGCAAGGTCTCCTTCCCATGCCGCCTGTGCGGGGAGATAAATTGGGATTGAATCAGCCATTTCGACCTCGCGAGGCAGAAATAAGGGTTGAATAAGCGGAGGTTCAACAGGCTCCTCGACTTAATTTTCATTACCAGCAACGTCGATTGGATTTTCCGTTGTTCACGGGTGATAATCTTAGAGAGTGGATTTGGACATGCGAGAAGCTTTTTCATCTGTACCAAATTGCAGATGATCAAAGGGTTGACTTCGCAGCCGTTTATCTGGACCGGAGAGCAGTTATTTGGTTAACCAGTTGGTGTGTTGGCCGTCGCGAGATGAGTTGGGATGATTTCGTGGCGGGATTCTATGGTCGAATTGGAGACTTTTCCATGGGAGGAGTCATTGGGGAGTTCAATAAGCTAAGGCAGAGGGGTACGTTACTGGAGTATCAGGAGAAATTAGAGAAACTCCGCTCCTTGATGCTTTCCTATAACCCTGCCTCGACAGAAGACTATTTGTTTCGAGCTTTATTAGCGGATTGGAGGAGGAGTAGCGGCCAGTCGTCACAATGATGGAGCCTCAAACTCTGAATCAGGCGTTCAGTTTTGCTCGTCTAAAGAGGCTTCTAACGAAGCTCGACTAAAGAAGCTCCAATTACAATCTCGGCCTCCATTGACTAGTTCGAGCAACTTCAACTCAGCAGCGAAACGAGGTGAGCCCCCTAGATTTTCGAAACCGTTATCTGGAACTCCTAGCAAGGGAAATCCGAGCAAAGGCGCTTGTTACAAATGTGGGGAGAAATATTTCTATGGCCATGTATGTGAGGCTGCAATGAAACAGTTGAATGTCTTGCTAGAAGAAGATGATGATATCGTGGTTCCCGAGCCCTAGAGTGGTGAAGAGGAGGAAGTAGTGTTGGATACAGGGGGATCAGGAACCAGAAGAGGTTACGATGCAAGCCTTGAGCAGCGGAGGGGTGACTAACTCGTTAATTGTGGAGGGGAAAGTCAAGAAACATAAGTTGATGATTCTGGTTTATACAGGCAGTGCCCATACTTTCCTGAATCTCGCAAGGGTGGAGGAACTCCATTGTGTGTTAGTCCCAGCTCCACCATTGCGTGTGAAATTGGCTGATGGAACGATTGTAATGAGCAAGTCTGTCTGCAAGTCCAGGGCCATGAATTCTGTTATGATGTCAGAGTATTGAATATGGGAAGTCATGATATGAGGTTAGGGTTGGATTGGTCGAGGACTATCAGCCCTATGAAGTTCGATTTTGTCAAATTGTAGTTGTTCTTCGTGTTGGCTGGACAGGACGTGGTTTTAACTAGAGAACAGGAGTTGGGCAACTGTAAGGCTATATCAGGCAGAGGGTTGCAGAAGATATTCAAAAGGAAAATGCAAGGATGGACTGCCCATTTATTCAGCCTCACTAAAGTGAAACCTCCAGGTCCGATACCTCCTTTTCTGTTGCCTGTTGTTTCTAAGTACTCAGATGTGTTTGGCAAACATAAGAATCTTCCACCCTCGAGAACTTGTGAAAATAGCATTATACTCCACCCAAACTCCCAACCAGTTAACCTACGACCCTATAGATACCCTCTACCACACAGAAAGACATTGTAGAAAAAATGACTGATGAAATGTTAGAATCCAAACTTATCCAAAACAGTAAGAGCCCCTTTGCTTCCCCAGTTCTGCTGGCATCCAAAAAAGATGGCACACATTGTTTCTTTGTGGACTATAGACAGTTAAATGCTCTCACCATCAAAGATAAGTTTCCAATTCTTGTCATAGATGACTTACTCGAGGAATTAAGGGGGTCTAAATTCTTTACAAATTGGACCCCTTCTCGGGGTATCACAAAATTATAATGAACCCAGCTGACCAACATAAAACAGCATTTCGAACTCATCATGGTCATTTTGAGTTCCTAGTGATGCCATTTGGCCTAACAAATACACCATCTACATTCCAAGCTTTAACGAACTCCATTTTTACTCCTTACCCTAAGAAATTCATCCTAGTTTTCTTTGACGATATATTGGTATACAGTACAGATGAGTCCAGCCATTCCAAACATTTAGAACTCACCCTAGCTTTCCTTAGACAACACACACTCTTTGCTACACCCTCTAAATGCACCTTTGGCCAAACACATGTTAAGTATCTTGGGCACATCATCAATAGTGAGGGGGTGTCCACTGATTCCAGCAAAATAGCTGTCATGGATTCTTGGACAAGTCCTAGAAACGCGAAGGAATTGAGAGGATTCCTAAGTCTAACAGGATATTATCGGAAATTTGTTAGACATTATGGTCTTATTAGTAAACCACTGACTGATATCTTGTGGAAGGTGGTGCTGCAGAAAGTGGGAAAGGTGGCTTACAGGTTGCAGCTTTCCGCAGGATCGACCATCCATCCTGTCTTCCACGTTTCTCTTCTCAAGCAAGCTCGAGGAACTCGTTTGCAGGTGCAGTCAACCATGCCAGAAATGGACGATCTAGGAACTCTAAAGCTAGAACTAGTGGCTACTTTGGCAAGGAGATTTGTGGCTCGACGAAACCAAGTTGCCACTCAGGTGTGCAGTGAAGTCATCAACTTGAGGAGGACGCTACATGGGAATTCCTTGATGAATTCAAACAGAAGTTTCCAGCTTTCCAAGTCTGATATTGACTTGAGGACAAGTCAAAGCTGAAGGGGGTGGGATTTTGTCACAGATAGGACCAAGTGGTAGATAATACAAGATGAAGGATTGCTATTGTAATTAGCCAGGCGGTGCGTATTGTGTACTCAATTGGCTGGATTGCTAAAACACTATGTGTAGTCTGTGGAGGAATTAATGAGAAATTACAATAACCTTTTCCCTCCTAATCTCTCTCGTCTTGTTCTTATCTGTTCTTCTTCTTCCGGAATGAGATGGCATGCTAACCGGTAGGAGGGTTAGCACAATGCTAACCTTGTCCGATCCCCGTCCCCTCCCATTCCATTCAATCCGACGGTTGGTTCGTAATTGGGGCATATTGGGCATTTTGAGTTTTAGGGTGATGTCACCGAGTGATAATAGGAGGGAAATTCGGGTGGGATTTCGGAAATCAGATCTGCCTCATCCAGCCTCCGCCATTTCCCTTTTCTTTGTTGCTCTTTCGTCTCACTTTTCTAGTCATCGTCTTCCTCCATCTCTCGTTTGGATTCGCCCTCCTGCGTCACGGTCTCTTTGTCCCTCTCCTTATCATCCTCCCTTTTTCCGGCCTGCTTCTCTTCTATTTCGTCATCCTTCTCCCAGCGGCCACTTTGCGGCTCCAAGAAGGGTGGTTATATGATTTCCCCAGGTGTGATTTTTGTGCAGATATGATTTCTTAAATATTCACTCTGCTATTTGATTTTTCTTAATTCGTACTTTGTGAAGATCTTATCCAGAGGCTTGTGTTTGTGATTTTCGCAGGTGATTTCCGATATTAATAATTATGGGTGGTGAAGCCGATGTTTGGTGTAGTAGTGATTTGCAGATCATGTAGTTGTTTTCAATCCTTTCTAGATCATGTTGTAGTCATGTAGTGTTTTTGCATTGTGGTAATTTGGCAGGCTAGTAGTGGTTTTCTGTATGTCCAATTGTCGATATTAGTTATGCCTACTTTCTAATTCATGCAGTTGTGACATAAGTGGTGATGTTGTTTGGGGTTAAGTTGGTAGCAGAGGGACTTGTTGATCGATGTCGTTACAATTTTATGAACACCAGTAGTGCTTTACAAAATGGTAGTGTTTTATGATAAATTAAGATTTTGTGGTCTTGTTTCTTAGCTTTGTCCGCTTAATGTCTTAGCAATTTTGTTTGCAATAGCACTCTTTTTAAGGGAAGGGTAGTGATTGTTTTTAGTTATGTTTTTGTTTGCAGCTCCCATTAAACTGCTAGAAGGCCATGAAGTTCCTTCTTAAGAAGAATAAAATTATTGCAAGTGGTGGCCTGGTGAAATCATAAGGAGTGTAAGAAAAGAGATTAGAGAGTTTTCTATAGTAGTGGTTTTGTAAGAGTAGTATAGTTATTTCGTAATAGTGATTTTATAGATATGGTGGTAGTAGCAATGCTTTTATAGTAGTGTTTTTATGGATTCTGCATTTACTGATATATGATGTAGGAGTGTTTCTTATATCTACCAGTAGTGATTAATGATTATTGAAAATTATAGTTGGTATTGTAATATAATTTCTCCCGAAAATTTATGAAAATCACTACTAATAAATAATAAAATCAATACTACACACCAAATTACTACTACATAACTAAAAGAAAGAGGTAGTAGTGTTTTTCAGATAATGTAGTGTTTTAATGTGTACGTAGAGACAGAAAGACATGATCGAGACAGAGGAGGGAGAAAGAGAGATAAATTGTGTAGGGAGAACTTGTAACCGCACCAATTAATACTCCAAAAATATCGACCTAAATAAATGAAAATAGTAGTTATTTTTAAAATTTCTCTCTCCTATTTCATCAAATCCCACCAATTACGCGCACTATCCCAAATAGACGATAATTAAAAAAACAAAATTAATATTTAATATAGCCTTTTCCTAATTTAACCTTACTTTTATCGTAGCCATTGGATTAGAAATTGGGGTGGACGGCCAAGATTATAGTTAGGACGGTGCTAACCCCCTATAGAGTTAGCACCCTAGCTTCTCCCTCTTCTTCCCTATCGCCGAGTTGAGCCCAGGTAGTGACACAGTTCCTACATGAATATTGATTGGCTGGCCTATTCTCGTCGATCCACCAGGATGCTCTTCCTCTCCGTATTTCTCACCGCCACCAGTCCACCTTCTTTGTACCCAGAAGCTATAAAATCAAAAACCTAGATTGTGTTTCTTTGTCTTCGTCTGTTTTGGGTGATATTGATGACAATAAGCAGAGAGTTGAACCAAAACAATTGAGAAGAAAGGGGAATCAAGACAGGGGTGACTGTTGATTTTATTGGTCTTGAAGTTGGGATGGAGTTTGGTGTAGGCTGAGGAGGAAGAAGAGAAGAAGAGGGAAAAAGGTGAAGTGGCGGTGGTTGCCTTTGCATAAATACTAGGTAGTATATTGGCCACGCTCTTCAATGGCCTGAGATTGGTCTCTGTGTCATTGTCCAACAGCCCGTAGATGGTGGTGGCCAGAAGCTCCAACTAATGGTGATTAGAAGGGGAGAGGACTCGAAATGAGTCTATGTGCAACATTATGCTGGCTATATAAGTGTCTCTCTGACTACAATTCCAGTATCAAAATTACATCCATTAAGGGTGCAAAAAAGGAATCCAATAGACAAATCCAGTACAAAATTAAGTTAACTATACATTGATGAATCGTAACCCACGATTCAAGGGTTTTCTGCTAGGCGCAGAGGAGCCGTTTAGTTATTTTGGGGTAAAAGTACCTTTCATTATACGATATCAAGCCTTTAAATAGAGAGAGTTATAGAGAGAGTTGCGTACAAGTAATCCTAATGCCACAAAACAGACACGTAAACCAAAATCAACAAGGATAATAATAACTATGCGCAGTGTGGGTTCGGCTTGGGTTCGCGGCAAGACCTTCGTGAACCAACCGAGTCCGGCTCGACCTACTGCATGGGCTTCGAGTCCGGCGTAAGTTCTTCATCATTGCACCCCTCCATTGTCCTCAAGGTCCAAGGTTGGAAACTTGTTCCGAATATCCTCCACTGCCTCCCACGTATCATCGTCCGCATCCAAATGCTCCCAGCGATCCAAGCACTCTTCCACCAACCGCCCTCCTCGCCAAATCCAACGGTCATCCAGGAGCTGTGCCGGTCGAATAATGACATCACCATCTTCAGATATAGGAGGAACCTCAACCGGAGTTTTGGGCGCGACCCCATAATATGGCTTAAGCAACGACACATGAAAAACTAGATGAATACGGACTACTTCAGGAAACTCGAGACGATAGGCCACTGGTCCAACTTTCTCCGCAATTGCATAGGGCCCGAAATACTTCACGGCCAGTTTCCAGGACACTCGGCGAAACGCTGAGCTCTGCCGATAGGGTTGGAGCCGTAGAAGGACCATATCCCCAACTTCAAAACTGAGATCACGCCGTTTCAAATCCGCACGTTGCTTCATATATTCATTGGCCGCCAACAGAGAGTCTTGAGCTCTCTTAGGATTGTGTCTCGTTCTCCTAACAAAATATCCACAACATCAACCGAGCTGGCCCCTCCTCCATACGGAATTATGTTCGGCGGATCTCGCCCATACAAAGCCTTAAAAAGATTCATCCCTATGGTACGGTGGAAAGAAGTGTTGTACCAAAATTCAGCCCACGGTAAGAACATGTGCCACCTGCGTGGTTGTTGGTGAGCAAAACACTGCAGGTATCGTTCCAGGCATTGATTGACGACCTCCGTTTGACCATCATATTGAGGATGATAGGCCGTACTCATGTTAATGCGAGTCCCTGTACGCCGAAAGAACTCCTTCCAAAATGTACTAGTGAAAACCGCATCCCTGTCGCTGACAATGGACGAGGGAATTCCGTGGTACCGCACAACAACCTGAATAAATTCGTCAACCACCTTGCGAACTGTAAATGGATGTGATAATGACATGAAATGATCGTACTTAGTCAAACAATCAACCACAACATACAATACGGACCGTCCCCCTGAAATCAGTAGTCCTTCCACAAAGTCCATCGAAATATCCTCCCAAATCTGACACGGAATTGGTAGCGGTTGTAATTGTCCTGTGAGAGATAACGAATCAGTTTTGACCCGTTGACACACATCACATGAAGCTACGTAGTCCCGCACAACCTGCCCCATTTGTAGCCAGAAGAAATGCCTTGCCACCCGCACAAGCGTACTTTGCGCACCCGAGTGCCCACCCATAGGAGTATCATGAAATTTGCGCAACATAGTGGTGACGAGACTAGAATGAGGTGGCAGCACAATCCGCCCTTTATAAAATACCAGACCCTGTCGATATTTGTAGCTTCCCGGCTGAGGCGCCACAGCCTTCTCCCGTACTTCCTGTAAATACGAATTATGCTCCTTAGTCGCGCTAACTTCGTCCCAAAAAGAAGGTTGAGGCCGAGTGACAGCATCCAGGCGTGGCCCATTGGGCAGTCGTGCCAATGCGTCCGCTATGCGATTGCTAGTTCCCATCTTATAGTGTAAGGAGTAATCAAATCCCAAGAGCTTGCTAACCCATTTGTGCTGATCTGGTGTTGCTATACGCTGATCAAGTAGGTATTTCAAGCTTCGCTGGTCCATATAGATCTGGAATTTCTAATACAACAAGTATGGTCTCCCCATTTGCACGAACGTTGTGATCGCCAGCATTTCTTTCTGATAGGTAGACCATGCAGCCTTAGCCGGCCCCAACACTTTGCTCATGTACGCAATGGGCCGTCCCTGTTGAGATAAGACTTTGCCAATGCCTTTACCGCATGCATCTGCCTCGATGACGAAGGGTTGCTGGAAATTTGGCATTGCCAGGGTTGGTGTGGATGACATCGCTCATTTTAAATCGTTGAAAGCGAGATCAGCTTCCTCTCCCCAGCGGGACCCTCCATTTTTTAGTAGACCAGTGAGCGGTTTGGAGATTGCCCGGTAGTTGCGGACAAATTTTCGATAGTTACGTGTCAGGCCTAGAAATCCCCGTAATTCCGTGACATTCGTTTGCCATGGCCAGTCAGTCATGGCCTGAATTTTCCTTGGATCCGCCTTGACGCCCGTGTCGGAGATCATATGTCCCAGTTACTCTAACTCCCGTAATCCAAAGGCACACTTGGAGAATTTTACATAGTAGTGATTGCAACGAAGGGTGTCGAGCACGCTTCGGACATGCTGCAAATGCGTAACCATCCAAAGGTTTTGAAACTTGCGCACACGATTACTGCGACGAAGCCCATTTCCAAGAGGCTCAACGGGAGCCGAGGAGATGGACGGACTCACTGGGACAGCAGGTGACGAGAGAGGAGACAAAGTCCTTGTCTCGGCAGCTGGAGAACGAGGGTAGGCGTCCTCCTCCCATGCATGGGCATGCAGAGTGGGCGGCGGGGACGCTTCTTCATCCGCCCAGCTGAGGGAACGACAGGAATCAACTGCGGTAGAGAAGATGGAGCCGACTCATAGAAATGAAACACATTTTCCACAAACAGAACATCACGTGATGTGTAGAAAGTCCGAGAAGAGAGATAAAAAAACCGATAACCCTTTTGAAATGCTGGATAACCTACGGACACATACGAACACAAAACGCTTGCAACATTCATCAAACTTGGGATCTCCTTTGTGATTATCTTTCCCATAAGCCAAGCATCGGAAAATGCGCAGGTGAGTATAAGAGGGCAACCTTCCAAACAAGACTTCATACGAAGAACGATCCTGCATAACTTTGCAAAGGTAGCCGATTTATGAGATAGGAAGCGGTCAAAACACACTCCCCTCAGAATTTAATGGTAGACTTGCACGAAACCGCAGTGCACGAGCGGTCTCCAGCAGATGACGGTGCTTACGTTCCACCACCCCATTCTGATGTGGAGTATATGTGCAGGACATTTGCAGAATAATACCCCCGATCCTCATAGAAAGCTAGAAAACCACTTGTCTGAAACTCGAACCCATTATTAGCCTGTATTTTTGCCACCTCTTGATTGAACTGTGTTGTTGCCATGTTAATAAACATTCTCAAATAACCCTCAACATCTGACTTGTAAGCCATCAAATACACCCAGGTGGCTCTACTGAATTCATCGACAATCGTAAGAAAATAGCAAGGTTCATTATGTGTGGCTCTACTGAATTCATCGACTAGCATCAATAGCCGAGGGGCGGTACTCTGTTGGCACAAGAAGCCATGTGTGGTGAATACATCTGGAACCGAAGCGAACCCAGGAAGACAGTTCTATGGGTGTCCATTTTGGATAGTAAGGTGTTTAGATATGGGTTTTGAAATTGTCATTGATGTGGGTTCTAAGTTAAATGCTTGTATGGTGCAGGACGAGAAGAAGAACTGTCATTTTTTTAGGTGGGTGCGAATGAATGTCGATGAAGATAAGCACCATGACTCTGAAATTGGGTGTTCGACTTTGAATATTGAAGAAAGTTTGAGGCTAGCTGAGTGTAAGGCGGAAAGGAGGAAGAAG